CCACCTGGAAAGTGGGGAAAGAGAAGAAGCAGGAAGGATCTGAGGAGGCACAGCCTGCCCTCCAGGGATGAGTCTTCCCCCACCCCTGAGCAGAGGACATTCAGAGCCCCAGGAAGGAAGGCAGGCTAGCGTCTGTGTTCCACACTGTGCAGACTGACAGATAAATCCGAGGCACTCATTCACTCTAGGTCATTCATGCAAGGGCTTCATGCCTTTCACATCCCAGTGTGCCAGGGCTGGAGTGGATGAGGGGCAGAGATATCTCTAACTCATCTCTCAGGTGGGGGCCAGATGCTCAGAAGCTCCTAGATTGACACTTGGGGCCCCTTAGCTCACCCTGATGTGATCTCTTTCCAGAGATAGTTACCCTGCCTGCTACACTGGCCTCGTGTCACCCAGGACCTATGGAGTCAAGGCTTGAAGAACCCATAGATCATCTGACCCCTTCCCAGTCACCTAGAGCCCCACCTCCAGTATCACCTTCCGAATACCACTCAAGAGGAGAAAATTCTCAAAGTAATGGAGTCATTGACTAGAGTACCAGTCCCTAAGTAATACCCATGGGTAACGTTCTATCCTCCCATGAGAACTCTCTTGGAGTAAAAAACACCCTTGAGTAACAAATCCCAGAGACACACCTTTAGAACCACATTCCTTCAGCTGAACCCTAAGTCTTAGATATACCCACAAGTAATAAACACACCCTCCAAGTAATAACCCCTAGAATTATTCTCGGGAGAAACGGTCGCTAGCTATATCTCCAGAGTAACAGCTCTAAGTAACACTCCCAGGTTTATGCCAATGCCATAGAGAACTAGCCACAGATGAACACTTCTGCAACACACCCAAGACCAACCCCACCAGAATAGCACACAAAGAGTTACAGTCCTGAGTGACACCTCCATAGTGACAGCCTGGAGCAGTGTCTTTGGAACACCCAGAAGGGTTCCATGAGGAAGAAGAACCTCAAAAAAAAAAAAAAAAAAAAAAAAAAAAAACAACTCTGTCAGGTCTTGTCATTCTCCGATGCAAAGCCCTTTAGTCACTGCGGCAGCAGTAGCCATCACAGGCTAGGAACTGTCATCCATGGGGTTTAAGTCAGGGAAAAGATTTGGATGGAGGGAGAGAAGGTGTGACAGGAGAGAGAGGAGGGGTGTGCCAGCCTGTCAAGGGAGTGGCCACCTCTATTCTGCTTCCAAAGACAGAGACTGACAGTCCAGGACACCCTTACTGGTCACTGGAGTATGACCTTGTGACTTGATGTATGAGAGGGTAGGGCGTTGGTGTTGGCACTGGAATCCCAGCCTCCAGCTCCCCCTCTTTGAAAGGCCCCTCCATCTCTCCCACCTTCCCTTCCAGCCTCTCCAGTTTCCAGTCTGTTGGTCTCCATGTTTCTGGGTGTCTCTTGCACCTCTTAGTGTGTCCCCGTGCACTTCTCTCTGTGTATCTGGGTTTGGTGTCTTCCTCCCTGTCACTATCTATCCTCCAGTCTTCCTATTGTCTCTCTCCAGATCTCTGTGTCTCCATACTGCAGTGGGTGGTGGGGGTGGGTGGGCTACTAATCACCTCGCTCTGCTTTTGTTGGTGGTCAGGAAGGGGAGAGTGGGAGGAAGGGGGGGAAGCTGACGTTGAGGGGGTCCTACCTGTTTGAACTGTTCTTCATAGGTCCACTCATGGGGCTGGGGTCCTGGGGGCTGGCTGGAAGGTGAGCTGGTGCCCTGGGCCTCTGGATGACACTCTTCAGCTGCCTCCTCCTCTGCCCTAGCTTCCTCCTCTTCCTCATCCTCTTCCGCAGCATCCTCTTCTTCCTCAGTCCCAACCTCCCTCAAGGCCCTCTCAGGGGCCTGCAGGGTCCGAGGGCCAGGCAGAGGAGGCCGTGGTGGCAGCAGTGGGTGTGCAGGGGCCAATGGCCCCACCCCCTGGGCCAGCCGAGCTGCCTGCTGCCTCTGCAGGGCCTCCATTACAGCTTCCAGGCGCAGTCCCCCTGCTGTGGGGGGCCCTGGTACCAGGCGGGGCCCTGAGGAAAGGGCCGCCTGTAGGGAGGGGAATTATGGGTGCTGGGCCCTGATGACCCCACAATCCTCAACACAAGGGGAGATGGGCATGGATTCAGGGGATTACAGGGAGGTCATAAGAAAACCGTCCAAAAGAGAGCTTTCCCAGAGATCCAAAAAGAGACAGAGAAGAAGAAAGCAGGAGAGACAGAGACCAGACCCAGGGAGTCAGAAACAACCGCTGACTGAGGACAGGGAGAGTCTTAGCAAATCAGAGAGGGTAACAGGGACCGAGAGACCAGGAAAGATGGAGGAAGGGAGAAGAGAGAAAGATGAGAGATTGGACAGAGAGAGACAATGACAAGGAGATAAGGAGCTAGAGACAGGACAGAGACAGAGATGGTTAGAGACAGAGCCTGAGGCCCCAAGACAGAGAGAGACAGAAATATCAGGCAGAGACAGACAGAAGACAGAGACGGAGAAAGACGAGATTGATAGTTACTTGGTAGAGAGACAGGGAGGGTGAGAAAGCAGAGCAAGAGATAAATATCAAAGACCTAAGTGACAAGCAGCCCAGACAGACGGACAGAGACAGAGAGATGGGTGGAGAGAGACAAATAGTGAGACAGAGATTGAGAGAAAGACCAATGTAGCAGGAGACAGAGACAGAAACGAGAGATTAGAGATGGGGTGAAACAGTAAATGGAGGCTGACAGAAAGACAGGGAGGAGAAAAACAGGTGGACGGATGGGGCAGGGAGGCAGAGCACCGGCACCAAGGAGGTGCGGGAATAGAGGGCGGCAGGGACAGAGCCTGGCACCGGGACGGGACGGGACTGGACGGGCTGGAGACGGCGAGGCGCGACGCCGGCTCTCTCGCTCCCGGAACCCAGCGGCCACACTCACCTGCCTGGCGCGGCCCGCTGCCCCTGGCGTCTCCACGGTGCTCCCTCTGTTCTGCCAGCCTCCCCGGCAGCCCCTGCCTCGGCTCGGTTCCTGCGCGGGTCCCTCGCGGTGCGCTCCAGCTGCCCAGCGCTCCTCTGGCCGCGGTGCGCTCACTCACCGCGCTACTGGAAGCGGCAGCAGGGTCGGGACCCGAGCCCGGCAGGGCGGGCGGGGACGCAGGGGGGAGAGGCCCCTAAGGGCTCGGCCTCTCCCAGCCCCCAACAGGTGTCTCCCACCTTCCTTACAGCCAGATTCGGAGGGAGGAGGCGCTGGAGAGCTGCCGGGACTGATAGGAGGGTGGAGGGTCCGCCGCCACTGGACTTCAGACTAGGGACCTGCCCAGCCCCACTAGTCATGCCCCCTACACCTCGCTCAGTGCCAGACGTTCACACACCAACACACCTTGTCACAAGTTCAGGCACACAGCCGTCCAGACTCACACACTCCATTCCGTGGTCACTCCAGCACCTATGGCCTGGGCAGGCTGTGATCACAAGGAGAGTCACTGTGTAGGACGCTGGGTAAGTGTGGAGGGCCTGGCCCTGAGAACAGAAACTTGGCACCCTGCTCTGTCCACATGCTGTCCCTAATCGCATGCATGCTGCAGTTTGCACACATGCATGCACATGGCAGCGAACTTATGCACTCACACGCTCAGAAGGCTCTGAGCTGACACCACACTCGGAACACCCACACTCATAGCGGGGTACACAGCCACACACTGTTTTAGCTCTGTTGACATTCTTTCATGGGTTTTTTTTTTAACTTCATTTATTGTAAAACATACATTGGGACCAGCAGCTGGCATAATGGCTATGTCGGTGGACTCCCATGTAGTTGCTTTCAGCCTCCACCCTTCTACTTTATACCAGGCACTGTTGGACACAAGAGTAAGTAAAACAAAGCCCCGGGGACCAGCATGTGGTGTGGTGGTTAAGGCACTGGACTCCTACATGACTGACTGCAGTTCAAGTTGCCGACCTGACAGCTTACAAATCATGCCTGGGTGCATATGTGTGCATGTCTAAAATCCTGAGAGGAGAATGAAAGAGAAGGGATTATGGCATGGTCATCCCCCCGGGGGGGGGTGATTTCTCACTTTCCCTCCCACTGTCTCT